AAGATTCCAGGTATGCACCACCACTCCTAGTTTAACATTGATTCTTCTGAATAATTTTTAAAAATTTTAAAAAGAATTCTTGACAGTTTTATTGGAGTATAGTTGATATACAACAAATAACATATACTTGAAATATACAATGTAGTATGTTGTGACATACAAATGTAACCAGAAAACCATCACCACAACAAAGACAGAACATTCATCACTCCCAGAAGTCTCCTACTCTTTGGAAATTCAAACCTCCTATACATTCCTGTCTCCCACCAAGAAATCACTAAATTGCTTTTTGTCACTATACATTAGGTTTTATTTTCTAGACTATTGTATAAATGAATTCATACAATGTATGATTTTTTTGGCCTGGTTTCTTTTGTTCATCATAACTATTAGGGGATTTATCCATGTTGTTGAATGTATCAGTAGTTCATTCCTTCTTGTTGTGAAATATCTCCTACTAGGAGTGTATACCAGGGTTTGGTTAATTGTTTTTTGGGGTTTTTTTCCCATTCACCTGTAGATAGACATTTGTGTTGTTGGGTAATGTCCTTCTAAAAGTGACTTGCCAAATAATCGTTAACCAGGCTTTGGGTTGCTTGCCTCTGCTACTGGAGTTGGAGTCCAGCTTCTTCTTATCTCATCTGGAACAAACAATTGAATGAAATGAGCAAAATGCAGTGACAAAGTTTATTTGAAAAAGTAAAGGTGAAGCTGAGTGAGGGAGAAATTGGCTCTGCAGAGGAAGCCTGGACTGAGTAAAAGAGGAAAAAGCAAAATGTAAGTACCCCCTGGAGGAGGCAGGGCAGACTACCACGAGGTAAGCCACAAGTAAGCTTTTCTTGGCGTCATGGTGCCCTTTTCTACTGTGCTTGTTGTGTCCTTTTATACAGTCCAAATCCCAAGGAAACCCGCGAGAACAAAATCCAGGTCCCGAGAGGCCGTGCTGGGATCCCACACCTCAGGTGGATGTCAGGTCTCGGCCATCGTGCTGAAAACCTGCTCCAGTTCTCAGAGTCCACGTGCAGGCCTTGGGAACTGTTGTGCGCATGCGTTCTGAGATCTTGTAACTTCCTCAGCCGGGTTTGCTGTGCTCCAATCTCCAATGTCATTTGGGTTTTTGTTTTTCCCCCTAGTTCAGGGATACTACAGGTGAAGATGCTCTGAACATTCAGGTACAAGTCTACATACATACAGGATGTGCTTTCTTGCTCTTAGGTAAATGCCTAGAAGTAAATGGCTGGGTCACGTGACATCATATGATGGCTCCAACGCATCAGTTCTAGGCTTTTGTTTATAATGACCAAGAATTGCAAGTACACATTCAATGGTAAAAGAAAAAGCAACTATATTTAGTGAAGATAACAGGAGGGTAGGTTCATGCCAGCGGAAACAAAAAGGGTGGCGTGATAGAGAATTGGTGTCAGGGAAACAGGAAAATAAAAAACACACAGATAAATCAGGGTTTTGAATTTTATTTTATTTATTTATTTGTTTTTTAAGACAGGGTCTTGCTATGTAGTCCAGGCTGGCCTTGAACTCATGGCAGTCTTCCTGCCTCAGCCTCCCAAATACTTTGATTATGCATGTGCCACCATGCCCAGCAAAAGTACAGTTTTGGGGTACTTTCTTAGGTCTTTTATGGATAAACAGAGGGCAAAACTTGTTTAGTTATTCAGTGATCACCTATCACAGTTGGCTGTATGTGCTTAGAATAATCATTTTCAGTTTAGACTTTGTAATATAGTGTTTAAACATCCATTGATGATAAAAACCCTGAAGAAAATAGGTGTAGAAGGACCTTATCTCAATCTGATAAAAGCCATTTATGAAAAACCTACTGCCAAAAAAAAAAGAAAGAAAGAAAGAAAGAGTAAAACCTACTGCCAACATCCTACTAAATGCAGAAAAACTGAAAGCTTTCCCTCAAAATCAGGAACAAGACAAGGATATCCACTATTAATATTCCTGTTCAACTCAATCCTTGGAAACATTAGCCAGAGAAATCAGGACAGAGAAAGAAATTAAAGGTGTACATATAGAAAAGGACAAAAATCAAAGTATCATTATTTGCGGATGTTATAATCTTCTGTTTACAAGTCCCAAAAAAATTCCACCAAAAGACTCCTAGAATTAATAACTACATTCAGCAGTGTAGCAGGATACAAAATAAGCACACAAAAATCAGTAACATCCCTATACGCTACTAATGAACTCATTGAGAAATAAATTAGGAAAGCAATACCATTCACAACCACATCAAGGAAAATTAAATACTTAGGAATTAACCTACCCAAGGAAGTGAAAGATCTCTATAACAAAATTACATCACTCTGAAAAAGAATATTGGGAAGGACATCAGAAAATGGAAAGATAACAGGGCTCCTGGATAGGCAGACCCAATATAATCAAAGTGGCTATACTTCCAAAATTGACATGTGGATATAATACAATCTCAGTCCAAATACCAACAGCATTTCTCACAGACCTACAGAAAACAATACTAAAATTTGTATGGAACCAGAAGAAACCAAAACAGCAAAAGCAACCCTGGGTAACAAAAGCAAAGCAAGAGGCATCGTAAGTCCAGATTTGAAATTATATTACAAAGCTACAGTGATGAAAACTGTATGATACTGGCACAAAAACAAGCATGTGACTCAGTGGAACAGAACAGCGGGAGCAGAAACAACCCCAGGCACATTTAGTTATTTGACCTTTAACAAAGGAGCCAAAACTGTACACTGGAGAAAAGATAGCCTCCTTAATAAATGAGGCTGGAAATTGAATATCCACATGCAGAAGAGAGTCTAAACCCATATATCCCATCATGTGCTAAATCAAAATGATTCAAATATCTAAATGTTAAACAGAAATGCATAATATTCTGGGAGATAAAATAAGTAAAACACTTGAAGACATAGACAGAGGCAAGGATTTTTTTTAACAGAACCCCAATAGCACAAGAAACAATTCCAAAAAGCTGGGCACAGAAGCACACACCTTTACTCCTGCCACTCAGGAGGCTGAGGCAGGAGGACTGTCATGAATTCAAAGCCAGCCTAGGCTACATAGTGTGCTCACAGTTACCCTGAACTGCAAAATCAATCAATCAATCAATCAATCAATCAATCAGTCAAGGGTCTGCACAGCAAAGGAAGTAACCAACAAAATGTAGAGACCACTTACAGAATGGGAAAAATATCTTAGCCAGCTGCTACTTGAACGTGGGACTTAATATCAAGATCATACAAAGAACTTGAAAAATAAATATCAAAAATAAATATCAAATATATAAATAAATATCAAAATAAAATAAATATCAAAAATAAAAATCCAATCAAAAGATGAGAAACTGAAATGAATACACAATTCTCAAATGGCCAGTAAAGATAGGAAAAAATGTTCAGCATCACTGGCCAGTAGAGAAACGCATATTAAAACAACACTGAGATTCTATCTTACTTTAGTCAGAATTGCTATCATCTAAAAACTTTATTTTTAATTGGTTATCATCAAGAAATCAAATAACAACAAGTGTTGGCAAGGCTGATGTAGGGGAGGAAACCTTCTGTCTTCTTGGAAATACAACATGGGACAGTCACTATGGAAATCAGCATAGAGATTACTCAAAAAACTAAAACTGGACATTCTATCTGACCCAGTTATTCTTCTTCTAAGTGTCTTCCTGAAAAAGTTAAAGGCATCATGTTACAATGACACATGATACTCATGTTTATAGCAGCACAATTCATAACATCTAAATCTTGGAAATGGCTTATATTCCTGTTAATAGGTGAGTGGATGAAGAGAACATACGCTGGGTGTGGTGGCACATACCTGTAATCCTAGCACTCAGGAGGCTGTGGCAGGAGGATTACTGTGAGTCTGAGGCCAACTTAGTCTGCATAATGAGTTCAAGGGCACCTTCACTACAAAGTGAGTCCCTGCCTCAAAACAACAATGATAACATTAAATGCTATTTATACACAGTGGAATACTACTGTGCAATAAAGAAGGGTAAACTTGAGACATTTATAGGTCAGTGGAGGCACCCTAAGCTAATAATATTAAGTGAAAAAGTCAGACACAAGCTGAACATCACATGATTTCTCTTATATGAGAAACTAGATATATAAATACATATATTTATATATATAAAGCAAAAAAAAGATAAAAAGGAAATAGGGAGCTGCTTTTCAAATGGGGAAACGAGATGGAGGATGGAGGATGGAGGAAGTGCAAGTGGGAGGAGAGGGGAAGGGCATAAAAAAGATAGTTGAAGAAAGAAAAATAAAAATACTTTTTGCAAATGGGAAAGGGACCAAGAGTTGGAAAGAGCACGGAGGGAGAGGAAAAGGAGGAGGAAAAAACCGAAAAACCGAGGTGTGTCATGTACATGTACCAATTCTGCACGATAAATCTAACCATTAGGTACTGCAAACATATACTAATAAAAAACAATATAGAGTTTAAGTGAAATCAGTTACTCAGCTGGCCAAGTTCAAAGGAAACCAGTTACCATCCTCTGCATTACTAAATCCTCTGAACGCAGCGAGGAATTATTAACTGACTTAGAGGATTCCGCCTGCGAAGCTTCTTTCCTGTATTTGGGGTTCTTATCTTAACTTTTTATCCTTTTCCTGTGTTTGCTTTTACATTTCTATGCTTAACTGCCTGTATGGCTTGAATTAGGTCTTGAATTGGGTGTCTGCGATGTTTTCCCATAACCAGCTATCTGAGGCCCTGCCCCTTACAGGCTGCCTGCTTGCAAGCTAACCGGCCAAACTGCCTTTTGAAACATGGCAGATAATGTGTTTCAGTCTGTGAGAAGTTGACAACTATTTTCCAAAGTGGTTATGAGATAGAGTAGAAGAAGAAAAGATGAGTAGGAAGGAGAATCCACAAAAACATAATTTTAAATTTATACTTTAAAAAAAAACCCGCAGCTTCAGGACATAATCAAAGTTAACTAATGTTAAGATGTCTTTTTTTCCTCCCAGGAAACTCCAAAAATTGTTCCAACGTCTAACAAGCCTGTGAATTGGAGCGGTGCTTACATCCAACCTGCCCTTCTCCTCTCAGACTTCAAGGAGGCAGCTCAGTAAGTGAGCCGCAGATCTCTACACTTCACACACATCTAAATCGCCTGCATCCTACCCCAGCCCACCAAATGGCTAACCTGGCAGCCGCTCGGAATATGTACCCGACAGCATCATTTTGTGGATGCCCCAAAAGCACATAAAAGGCCCCCAACATCAGAGAACAGTGTGCCTTAGAGCACTCCACTCCCTTCTGAGAGCGTGCTTTTTTCCCTGCCTAATAAGCCTATAGATGCCTCTCACCGGGGCCCTCGGAAAGTCTTTTTTCCATGACAGAAGTCAGCAAACCAACAACGTATTCCAACGCATTGAGGTCCCCATCTCCTCTGTGCAGGCTCCTCTTCAGACCCCTCCAGAGATGGGTCTTATTCCTACCAGCAGTGTAGAAAGTGCAGGTTCCTCTACCCCTTTATTAACACCTTATACTTGTGCAGTCAGTCTTTTAAACTAAAGCCACACAGCTGGGATTTTAATCTGGATTTCCCTGATGCCCGATAATGCTGACCATCTTTTTATATGCTTTTTTGCCATCCGTGTCTGTTCAAATCTCTTGCCCAGTTTTTAAATTTGTTTTTTTATTATTGAGTTTTCACAGTTTTAAAAAAAAATGTATTCTAGGTGCAAATCCATTATCAGAAATAAGTTTTGCAAATGCTATTTGCAGAAGATACTATTTTTAAATAAGAATGATAAACTAGTGTTAGTTTCATTGATTTTCTGTGGTGATTTCTGTTTTCTAGTTCACTGATTTCCACTCTGATCTTTATTATTTCTTTTCTTCAGTGTACTTTGGGTTTCATTTGTTTCTTAAGATGAAAAGTAAAGGTGTTAACTTAAATCTTTTTTCCCTTTTAATATCAAATTATCTTTTAAGCATCATATGTTTGGATGTGTAATATTTCATTGAACAAAATGCTACTAGTTTTTCTTTTTGATTTCATGGATTACTTGTAATTATGCTATTTAATTTCTAAATATTTGAGAATCTTTTGATGTTTATTCTTATCATGCTTAGAGAAAATAAATCTCGATTACTATATTTATTGAGATTTGTTTTATAGCTTAAAATATAGTATGTCTGAGTAAATATTCTGTGTAAAATTAAAAAGAATGCTACTCTGCTGATGTTTGTGTCAATTGGGTCAATTTGATTGATAGTATTGTTCAAACCTTCTATATTTATTATTGATTTTCTATCAGTTATTCAAAGAGGAGTACTAAAATATCTGAATATTGCTGGTTTATTTCTTTACATCTCATTATTTTGTTCTTTTGATGAACTGGTTTCTAAGTCATTATGAAATGACCTTCTCTGTCATTAGTATTATTCTTTGTTCTGACATCTAGTTTTCCTTACATTTATATAGCCATTCCATAATTCTTTGACTAGTACTAGCATGTTATATATTTTTGCATGTATTTTCTTTTTATCTACTTTTGTTCATTACATGTATTTGCTTTTCTTTTTGAGACAGGGTTTTACTGTGTAGTTCAGAGTAGCATTGAACTCCCTATGTATCCCAGGCTGGCCTCAAACATAGGACAATCCTCTTGCTTCAGTTTCCCGAGTGCTGGGATTACAGGCGTGTGCCACCATGCCCAGTCCATTATATGTAAAGTGAATTTTTTTAGGCATCTTAAGATAGGCTCTTGCTTTTTAATCTAATCTGAAAATCTCTGCCTTTTAATTAGACTAGTTAATCCATTTATATTTAATGTGACCATTGCCGCAGTTTAGATTTAATCTGTCATTTTGCTGATTTGTTTTCTGACTAATTCATATATTCTTGATTCCCTTTTCCTCTTCTTTTGGGTCTTTTTTCAGTTGTATGAGTACATTTCATGATTCCATTTAATGTCCTTTGTTGAATTATTGCATATAACTCTTATTACGTATGGCTTCAGGGTTTATAGTACATATATTAAATTTATTACAATCTAATGTGAAGTGATATTATCGCCTCACATATACAGTAGTATAACAATTTTATACTGGTATACTTCCAATTCTCCTGCCCAAAACTTCAGACATTTTTCTGATGTATTGCTTTTGCACGTTATCCCCACAATACATAGTTATAATTTTTGTGTAAACCATCAGTTCTCTTTTAAAGACAGTTAAGTTACCAGAAAAACAAATTTTATATATTTTCCTATGTAGTTGCCTTCTTTGCTGCTCTTTGTTCTTGTATATACCTGTATTCCCATCAGTGCTACTTATATTTTGTCTGAAAATTTCCCTTTAACATTTTTAGTATAGGAAGATTGCTGGGGATGAGTTCTTTCTGCTTGGATATATTTGAAAATGACTGTTTCACCTTAATCTTTGAAAGGTATTTTCAGTGGGCATAAATTTATGTATGAAAGTTTATTTTTCTTTCAGTATCCTTTCTGTAGTGTAAAGAGTACAGATGTTGCTGTACTATCTTTTCAGTTATATTATTTCCTATGAGAAATATTCTGTTATCCTTATGATTGGTCTGCATATAATGTGCATTTTTTCATTGTCTGATTTTAATATTTGCTTTTTGCCATTGATTTTGAGTAATTTAATACTGATGCCTTAGTAGCTTTTCGTGGATATTATGCTTAGGATTCATTGAACTTCTTTGATTTATGCATTTATAGTTTTCATCAAAATTGAAAAAATTTTAGCCATCATTTATTCAAATAGTTTTCTGTCCCTGCCACATTTTGAGGATACAAATTACATGTACATAGATATATTAGGCTGTTTGAAGTTGTCCCATAACTCACTGATGTTCTTTTAATTCTTGTTTTATAATCTTTTTCTTTTTATATTTGGTTCTATTTTATTGTTATGTCTTTAGGTTAGCTGATCATCTTCCATTAATGCCATCAGTATAATTTTCATCTCAGATATTGGAGTTTTTAGCTCTAGAAATTTGATTTTTTAATATACTTTTTGTATCTGCTTTACATTTTGAACATTTGGAATACAATAATAAATATTGTTATCTGTGTTATTTTTATCAGTTTCAATTGGTTGCTGTGTGTGTGTGTGTGTGTGTGTGTGTGTGTGTTTTAATCTTTTTTTGAGACAGGGTTTCACTATTCATTTCAAACTGACTTTGAACTTACATTGTAGCCCAGGCTAGCCTCAAACTCACAGCGATTCTCCTGCCTCGGCTTCCTCAGTGCTGAGATTACAGGTGTGTGCCATCACACTTACTTTTGTAAGCTTTAAAAAAAAAATAATGGGGGCTGGGGATTTAGCTCAGTGGCATAAGTGCCTGCCTTGCAAGCACCCAGTCATGAGTTCGATCCCTGATACCAAAATAATAATAATAATAATGTTATGAATTTTTTTGTCTTTTTCCTTTTTATCGGTACCGGGGATCGAACTCATGACTGTCTGCTTGCAAGGCAGGTGCTTATGCCACTAAGCTAAATCCCCAGGCCTTAATATTATGAATTTTAATCCACTGGATGCTGCATATTTTCATATTCCCATAAGTATTCCTTTTTTGTTGTTGTTCTGAGGATTGAACCTAAGGCCTTGAATATGCTAGGCAAATGTGATACCTCAGAGCCAAATCATATCCTTCTATAAATATTCTTGAGCTTTATCCTGGAATGCAGGCAGAAACACTGAGCATTTTGTATCTTGTTTTTATGATTTTTTAGGTGAGACCACAACAGCATTTAGTCTAGGAGTAATAATTTTTTGTTAGTAAGACAGGGTCTTAGTCCCCTCCTAAATGCCCTGTGGCTTGCTATTAGAACCTGTAGGTATCTAGGTAAGTTTCCCCATTATGGGCCCCCACTGCCATCACTACAGAAGTCAGGCACTTATTGTCCTAGTTCCCTTGCAGGTTTAGCACAGACACATAATTTGGGATCCACCCATACAAGAACCAGAAATTTGTATACAATTGACAGAAACTGGTGAGATCCATTCTAGTGAGGTGCAGAAAACAATATTCCAGTTTAGAGAGCGAGCAATACCGAACCTTTAGCAGCCCTGCCCAGTGCCTAGTGTAGGAAGTATTAGCAGAATCGCTAATACTGTTTGCACTGTAAATTGGTGCATTTCCTGGCTGTCCTGCCTCTAACTCTGATTTTCCTGGTCCTCTTAGAGTTTCTGAGTCTCCTGATAGCCTTTATTCTTTTTTAAAAATTTATTTATTTATTTATTTATTTGAGGTAGATTCTCACTCTGAGTCCAGTTTGGCCTTGAACTCCTTATATACAGCAGGCTGACCTCAAACTTGCAGCAGTTCTGCTTCAGCCTCCAAATTGTTGGGATTACAGTTGCATACACCACACCTACTTTCCTAATGGTGTTTAAAACTGAGAGTAGCAAACCTTTCTTGGGAAGGAGCAGTTTCTTTGGACTGAATTCCATCCCCCTAAAATTCATATGTTGACATCCTAACCTTTAAAATGATAGGACCTTTGGGAGGCAATTGAGGTTTTGTTTTGCTTTGCTTTACTTTGTTTCCCATTCCCCTTCTTAGGCACCCATCTCCCCACACAACTAGGTTTAGAACAGTCATGAGGGTGAGTCCTTATGATGTTAGTACCCTTTTTTTTTTTTTTTTTTTTTTTTTGGTACTAGGATCAAACTTACAACCTCATGCTTGCCAGGCAGGCACTTATGCTGCTGAGCTAAATCCCCAGGACCATGTTAGTACCCTTATAATAGATATACCAGATCTTTCTCTCTTTCCTGCCCCTTGACACCCAGAGAGAAAGCAGTCATCTGCACCCACAAATCAATTTGAGGGCCCACCAGAAACTGAGCAGGCTGGCACTTGGATTTTGGACATGCAACCTGCAAAACTCAGAGCTGTGAGATCAATCTACAGTATTCTGTCATTGGAGACCAAGCCAACCAGGCCATTAGTAAATATTTTAGACTTTATAGACCATATTGGTAAATATTTTAGGCTTTGTCACAATTCCTCTGTTCTATAGCGGTAGCACAAAAGCAGTTATGGGCAAATATAAGCAAAAAATTGTGACTATGCTTCCATAACATTTTATTTATGGACATTACAATGTGAATTTCATACATTTTCATGGGTCATGACTATCATTCTTTTTTACATTTTTTGTCAAACTATTTAAAACTGTGAAAATTATACTTTATTCTGGCCCATACAAAAATAAAAGGAAAGTCACTTTTGTTTTTTGGTCTTTTTTTTTTAAATTTTTTAAATTATTTATTTATTTTTATTTTAAAGGGGAAAAATAAAAAATAACAATAAAAGTTTCCAAACAGGTTAGTAGGAGAGTTTCAATAATTAATACACTGCATTTTGTTGTCATTGTAGTAATTATTCAGAGTATAAGATATAGGCATGGTATCTTGTCCAAACATTATTAGCACAAATCTTTCTTTTCAGTGAACTAAGAGCTTGTTACTTTCTACATGACCAGCTTTTTCTGCTTAAACAACCTACTATTGGCTTCTGATTTACATCTATGAAGCCTGCCGGGTGCCTTTAGCCCAGGCCTGTTTGAAGAGAAGCTTATTCTTAAGCCTTGAGATAGAAACACTCATTCTGCTTTTCTTCAACTGCCAGAGAAGAATTTGCTACATAAACTTCCCTGTATTACCTGCTGCAATTTTTAGCAACCCATCAACTCCTGCAGAAGGTTGTCTAATATAATCAAGTCTCCTCCTGAGGAAAGATTCTGAATAATTCTAGGTTTCTCTGTCCTGCAGATTGTCCAGCTCTGAAGAGCTCTTGCTCCTCTGAGCGAGCTATTTGTTTCATGTCACCTGAGCCACATGATTGTAGATCAATATAGTACAGCAGCTATAGCTGCTTTGCTGCAGCCGACAGGAAGGATGCATGAAATAGGATGAACAGAAATGGCAATAAAAATAATGAAGGAGGCTGCATAATGAAAGCAGGTCATTCTCTGGACTCATTTAAAGGTGGAGTTAGAAAACTGCTATCTCATTCTAGAAGCTCAAACTAACCCGAGTCAGTCAACATTTAGAGACTCTCTTTTCTAAACCTCTTTTCTATCTGCAAGATGCAGATTCTGTTTGCATTTTCAAATAGAGTACCTTGCCTAATAAAAATATGATGCTTAGCAACAGAGGTAGATTACAACTATATTTAGCTAAACCAAAGCAGTTTTAAAACGTACCGGACAATCTGATTGACATAGTTGGCAAGTCCTCTTGTCCTTTACTGACAGTATCACCTGGTTTATATTCTGGCATGAGAAGAGTCTTGCCCGTCTGAAGTGATCTGATTTGTCAGGGGACAATGAGAAGGCAGAGGCTTAGACAAAAAGGCTTGTCTTTGGGTAGGAGGTCTAGACTTTACAGAGTTTATGCCTGCATGAGGGGACTCTCTCCACTTTTGAGTATTTAGCCTCCTGTTTCACTTTTGAAATTATAATAATTAATCAAAAGAGAAAGCAAAACAGTGTTATTTGGGGACGCAAAAGACATATCTTGAATGAGAGGAAAAAGCGATTCCCAAATATCTGTACTAACAGTCAAAATTAGTACATGGTAGCAAGGGCCCTTTACATGCTATATAGGGAATGGTAGCTAGCCTCTGGGATCCTCCTCCCCTAAACTCGCAACCCCAGCCTCAGGTGAAAAGTATCAAACAAATGCCAGTTGAGGAATAGTCTACAAAACACCTGACTGGGAGTTTAAATTTTTTTGTCCGACTATTTAAAAGTATGAAAAAAGGGGCTGGAGGTTTAGCTCAGTGGCATAAGCACCTGCCTTGCAAGCAGACAGTCGTGAGTTCGATCCCCGGTACCAATAAAAAGGAAAAAGACAAAAAAAAAGTATGAAAAAATTTAAACATATAGGTACACATGGTCACCACAAATAAAGATTGAGAAACAGACACGGCCAAGAAGAGCCTAAAGGGACATGACAATGAACTGCAATGTGGCAACCTGGATGGGATCCTGGAGTAGGAAAAGGACTTTAGGGGGGAAAACTACAGAAATTTGAAGAAACTTTGGACTTCAAGGAGTAATATATGAATATTTGACATGCATGTTAGCAAATGTACCACAGTGTTAAACATTAATAATAGGAGAAACTGGGTGCTAGCTGTACTGTCCCACCAATAATTCTGTAAATCTAAAGCTTTTGAAATAAGTTTATTTTAAAAAAGGAGAAGGCCTTCCCTTTTGCTAGACTTATCCCCCAGCCCCTCACAGGAGGCCAGAGATAGTATTCCCTATCTGAGCAGAGACAAGCTCGGCCTGTATCTATGTCTGGTTAATAGAAGACACAAATGATCAGCCAAAGATTATAAAGCTGAATCTAGACCCCTTCCAAATGGAAACTAAAACAGATATACATAAATTAATAACATCCTAAAGCATTTTCTTATCACTGAGAATAGAACATAATCTGTAAGAAACTCCAAGATGGAATCTGACCTTTTATTTTTAACACGACAGCTGAACTCTCCGTGGTTGCCTGCAATAGCTACCATCATTGCCTATAGGCAGCACCTCTTCCAAATTAAGGAACATTCCTTGAAGTTCTCATTAAATGTACATTACTGTTTTGAGGTTAATATCTTGGGAGCTATGATTGTTCAAGTTACTCTTCACAGAATTGAGTCTTTCTATAAAGCAGAAGTATTGTAGGAGACAAATGTGTTCTGCAGAGTAGGTTGTCTTCGGTGTGTTATTCAGTACGAATATCTCCTTCAGGAATTTACTAGTGACAGTTTCTCTGATTATTGCTCCACAATTGTGTGTTAGCAGTAATCACTCCCCTTCAGATCAACTTTATAGAGGTCATTCTTGAATACAGAAAAATTGATGATCGATTGTCTTGTCACTGCCAATGATAATCAGTCATAGTCTAAGTTGACATGTAGAAAAAAAAAGGAACTTCTTAGTTTGCCATTTTAGCAATCAAACAATTGAGGGATTCAAAAGTCCCTTTCTGCTGTTTTCAGGTCCTGTTTTCAATGTTAGGGGGCTTCCTTGACATAAGCAGCTGCCTCCAGTAGTTTTA